ATTAACAACAGCAAATACTCTAATCTTTTTTTTTTGTTTTTTGAAAAAGGCCTATTGAACCTTTTTGATCCTGTTCGCTAGTGTTTCATATTCGCGTAAAATCATTAGATCTTTTTTTTTTTTTGGTGTGATGATATTCTGTGTATCCTTGTTTTGTGACTTTTAGAAGATTTATGAATTCAGTGTCCAGTGCTGTGTATTTCTACAAATGTATCAAACACCTGTCTCGCTTGTAGGGACATTTTTCGTGTATTCACGTATGTCTTTACGTGTATGTTTTAAACTGGTTCTTTAAATGATTAAAACTGGCTCAACTTTCCACTTTGATGTTTTAAACTGTATTTGCCATAGTGTCCGTATTTTGTTTATTTTATTAAATGTATTCTTATGCGTTGTACACTCCTGTAACTACCTCAACAGGCTAACAATATGCACAAATAAGAAATAAATAAAGAAATAAATAACAATATTCATTGCGTGTTCAGGAACAGTCAGTAGCCTTTTTGTTAAAAAGGAAAACACTTAGACAACGAATAAACAAGAGAGGGAAATCAAGGCGTAAAGAGGCATAAAAAGCGACACGAAGACAAGACGACCAAATACGTTAAGGCAAACATTAAAGGGATGCTGCAACGAAATTTCGGAGCTTACTGTTTGGTCTATTCGTGATCAAGGGAGCGGCATCACATCGAAAATACCAATATATTGTTAAAAAAGTCACGAAAAGGAATTTTAAAACGAATTAAACGCTTAGCAAAGAGCACTTGGTGGATGTCGCTAACGCCTCGTATGTAGTGCCCGTCTTGGAACCTTGACAGGTAGTGACGATAACTGTCTCGCCCCCGGTAGCACGAGAGACGAGGGGAAGGAGGAACTCCCTTCTCCCTGAGGCTCTCTTTTGTTTATCCCAGACGTCGTTATTGTCCCTCACAAGATTATAGCCCGTCACTCAAAGTTCGTATAAAAGCAGCTTTGGGGTTAATTGCGGAGGGCCGATCGCTGGTGTGCTTCGGCCACTTCGTTGGCTGGAACGGCTAGGACATCCTCTCGACGTCAGCCTCGCCGCAGCTTTGCATGTCCCGAGACAATCTACGTCACGATTGCGGCGGATGTCACGTGCTCTCCGCTGGCTGCTCTACGAGTGCTTGCCAGAGTGTGGCTTTTATAACGAAAAATACAGCAATAGAGGCTCAAAATACAAACATGCGATTGTCATATGCAGATATTGTGGATCATATACAGCCTATTTCTGAATATAACGGGTATATTTAAAATTTTGTTGACATATCCCTTTAACGCAGATAAAAAAACATCGAGTCAATCCACAGAAGTACATTCACCAATTCGGTCCAAGAACAACCGTGGCAAAAAATAAAATCAAGAGCACCATCATCACGAAAATAATACGCGGAGAAGGGGAACAAGGAGGACAGAGGACAAACACAAATCTCCAAAACACAGCTAGGTGACTGGTGCGCGACCGAAAAAAAATCCGCGTGGTCTTGGTATGGAACCAGGGACCTCTCCATTTCCAGTGGAGCGCTTTACCAGAAGAGTTAGACGTCAGTAGAGCAAACGGGCATTATCAGCTGCCACCAGTCTAACACCAACCAGGGTGAACGGCTTGCGTATTAAGGTTATGATTATAATGCAATTGAATGCAAAGGTGCAAGTGAGCTGGACACGAATGACGAAATAATCTCTAAAGAAGGGGAGCATGGGGGACAGAGAACAAACATAAATCTCCAAACACAGCTAGGTGTCTGGCGCGCGACCTAAAAAATCCGTCTGGTCGTGTAGGTCGTTTCGACAATTCAGCCACGACCACGTTGAATAAAGTAGGATCTAGTACGCTACTTTGCGGAATCCCGTAGTTTACTTCATGTGTTGTGCTGTCTCTTTCACTCGTAACTACAAATATTTTCCAGTTCAGCGAGAAGTTTTTGATTCAGCGTACAATGCGACCTCGGACCCTAAATTGTATGAGTCCACTCAGGACATGTGTGACTCACAGTATCAAAAACACCACGAATATAAAAAAAAAAAACGCATTGTTTAAGTTTCCAGATTTGCGCTCATGTTCAATGGTCGTAACAAAGTCAAGGATGGAGTGACCCACTGTGCAGTTTCGTGGGCGAAATCCAGTCATTTGTTCTGGTAAAACACGATTTGATTCAAACCACTATTGCAGACGTAAATGCACCATATTTTTCATATGCTTCATGACACAGCTAGTGAGACTTACCGGACAAAGTGAATCTAATGCAGCTCCAGTTTTTCTACACTTGAGTAAAGGAACGACCTTTGCCAGTTTCCATGAATCTGGCAGAGTTTCCTTGCTCCAAATGCCATTGAATATCACAAGAAGGTTTGACTTCGTTCCTGGACCAAGACTTGCACGTGCTTCGTATGTTATTTGGTCATGACCAGGAGTTGTGCGCTTACAAACTTGTCCTTAGTGCCTCATCTAGTTCGCGAATACTGAAATCGCAGGCTAGTTGCGAGTTATTTGAGTTAATCACTAAGGCAATGCTTTTTCTGTGGCTTCACGTGATGCCTTATACTCTAAAGAGGACATCGCTGCCCCCGGTTATGTAAGCGAAACGCGAAACTCATTCGCCACTGTTATTTCCGAAGTACCTGGTGTCAGGGATAAAGCTCGGAAAGGGCTTCACTAAGTAACTGGAGATTTTGAAGAGCTCACTATATTCTCTACCATTTTGACCTGGGTGAAAGGTGAAAATGTTGCAAAAAGCTTTCTCCATCGTTGATGAAAAAGCTTTTGTAAAAGCCGCTTCATTTTAGTGCAGATTCGCTGTGCCTCTCTATAGTCCTCTGCTCTTTCTGATCTCCGGTATCGCCTTTTAGCTCTGCGGCGGATAGCTCGAAGCTTCTCGTATTCACCGTTTAACTCACAAGTTATCGGAAGAGGCACCTTTTTAGTGGCCCTGGTGAGATTTGGTGCTGATAACCCTTTCGGGAATTCTTCAACTGTCCGCGTCTGTTCGAGTTGCCTGGTGTTAAGAAAACGAAACATCTTCCAGTTTGTATAGGGTACCCGGTGACGTGGTTACTTCGGTGTTAACCGTGGATGGTCAATAAGTATTTATTGGTTAGGGGTCACTGGTACGTATGTCTATATCTGTGCCCCAGTTCATGTCATGAGTGATGATTGGAGAGCACAGTGCGAGATCAAGTGAACTGGAATAGTTTACACTTATTAGGTACGTTTGTGAGCCATAATTGAGGATGCTTATGTCGTAGGGATCAATAATATTTTTAATTAGTTTTTCTCTTGTCCCAAGGAAGGCTACCCGAAGTGTATGTTGGGCGTTATGAAGCAGAGTCTTCTGAAGAACGAGTTGAATTCATATAACTTTTGAAAACTGCGTCATTCTATTTCTAGCAACAATAGCTTTAGAATTTCTCCCTCGCAGATTTTTTTTAACAATTTAACCAATCTACGAAGCACCTTCCACCTTTTCCTCTTTATGATTTCACTTCTTCGTTATCCTTCATTCCTTTTAAAAATTTACTTGTGTCAGGTGCCGAAAACATGCAATTACTGTATGCCCCCTTGTGCAAAGCCCCTCATAGACATTGAAGGGAATAATAAACTATACTAGTTTTCACCTCAAGAAAAAAAGCAAGTTTTCCGCATTGTTCCTACGCCACGCGAAGTAGTTCTTACGAGATTCGCTTGTCGGAGGAAGAAGCGATGCTTTTTGGCGTTCGAAACGTTTACGTCTGAAGAAGATAAGGTATATATCTGATCGAAAATGTATCTTAAAGGAACCATGAAATGATTTTTCAACTTCTTTCTCCTGAGCATTAATCCTCAACTCAAAGGCAATTTGAGAAATCACGTCGTTGTGACATGCTTGGGCGCCGGTGCGATGACTCCAAGATTCCACCGTGCTTTTTAAGCACATCATGGAAGTTGTCATTCGCAAGTGATGATAAGTGCCATCACGGCACTCATTGGTCCCCATAAACACGAATCCAAATATTCATCGACTGATATTCGATTGTCGACGAGCGCATACGTCCGAGTGACGCACTCCTCGTGTCCAATGCGTGAGCTGGGGTCGTCTGACGTGCTTGGGGTACCGTGGATGTACCACCGTGAAAAGGCGAAGAGGTTTCGAAGGAAAGGAGTAACAAAATAGTTATCTATAATTTCAAAGTTTCGTACCGAAAGGCAGGCTTTTTAGTTTCTATACGACCTTTCTTTTGGCCCACTAATCGATGTGCGATTAGTGAAATCCCAATCGAAAATCATTTATCCCAGCCCAGAATTCATTACATGGCCCATTTAATTCTCCACATAAGAAAGGAAGTTAATAATGCTCCGCAAGGAGCCAGATTTTTGTTTTTTTCGTGCAGTTTTTGAGGTGGAAACGAGTATAGATGAAATAAAAAAAAATTATTCCGAGAGTTCTGCGAATGTTTCTCTGCTGTTCCACACAGGAAACGGGGTGTAAAATTCAATCAGAAAGTCACTGCGAGGTCGACCGACCCCGGGCTTGGTGACTAGCACCCGCTTTCTAGAGAGCCTAAATTTAATGAGAAGGAGCAACTCAAAACAATGGAGATTTGTCGCTAGTGCGCATGCGCTGGTTGTCGCGTGGCGAGAAGGAAAGCGGGCAGACAGGCGGAGGCGCTTGCATAGGACGCAGACGATACACGATTTTAGGTGCCCTCTTCGCAGCACGCGTTGCAAACGCGGTCCCTAAACCACGTGACCCTGATCGAAGAGCTGAATACAAGCACTCCTGTAATGTAGGCGCACTATACCGCTTTTCAGAGAAAGCAGCGTTCCAGATGTTCAGCTCCGTAACCCTGCATAAATTTCCTCCCGTAGCGCCTCGGATGTTCGTTCGATGGGATCAGCTTTGTTCGAAAACAAGCTCACTGACCTTAAGCACCTAGCAGAGTATTTAACGCGTGTAGCTTGCAAGGGTTCCTACACACCGACTGCGCCCCACAGAGCAAAAGCCATGAAGATCCTTCTGTTCACCGTTGCGCTATGTCTGAGCTTGAGCTGCCTGACCGAAGCCATAAACCGTAAGTGTTAAGTCTTGTTATACGAATGTGATGTTCGGAGATATACTGAAGGAAGGTATAATAATTAAAATCAGCGGCCAAAAAACAAACGAACAAAGAAACAAACACTAGGGATGTCTTTTTAACACATGCCATTTTAGCATTGTCGGTTTATGCTGTACATATATCGTAGCATGACACTTAATGTTACACCGTACCCTATAATATATCCTTATGCCTAAAATGTTAGCATATTTGTTTATTGAAATCGCTTGCTCAATACCTAAAACACTCAGTGACACGAAAACACCAACGTGCTGCCTCTTTTGAGGTATGTCTGTACATAATGTAAAATTATTGCTTGGCTAACCAAGTCAATCGCATGTTTAGGGGGATGATAGGGTAAACGAACCAAAAAATATTTAATTTTAGTATTGAAAAATTTTATGCAGTCTGAGGAACAAAACTGGGAGGCGTCGAGCTCGAACGACCGCCCTCAGCCACTTAATATGGCGCCAAATTCCGCGCCCCTGTTATTTAAAACTGGTCGACGCACATGTTTGTTTATATTAATTAACATTTTAATTAATTTATTTATTAATGCCTTGAAGTACCTACCGCAGGGAAAGTAAGGAACGACACAGGACGAAAAGGAACAAGAAAAAAGGCTTCGGGGTGGATGAAAAGAAAGCAACAAAAGTCATGCATTCTGCTGGAGCCTTTTGAACATTTGTCACAAATGTGAAGACATAAAACTGTGTTTTTTAACATTTTTGAATTTCTTTTTTTTTTTAATTTTGATGTACCTTTACGTAGAAACTACTTATCCGAATACACTAAAATTTACAGCTTATAGTAAATTATCTTGCCAAGAGTTCGAACCTAAGTGTTCCTAGAATTCACTACATTATAATGTTAAAAAAATTAAAATAAAAAAAGTTCCCCTCTTATGACAACTAAGAACAATATTTTGTTTTCTTGCTTGCCGCATGTTCAAACTTATTTTTATAGGTTCAGTTTAAAGCCAGAAACACGTACAAGATACTTACAAAATTAATTGAGTATCGTATCGTTTGTTGATGAGAAAAGAAAAGTACAAGAACTGAAACTCAACCTAAAATTTGAAACCCACTAACTAAAAATATAAAAAAAACTTAAAAAAAAAGAAGCATCAAAAAATTAATCCAAAGGGCGTAACCATTCAAAACGTAAAATTTCTCAATAAAATATGGAGCAGTTTTTTGTGGTACAAAATTAATGCCAAAGTGACCCGTTAACCCTACCATCCCCGACTTAATAGAATAACACAGCTCATTTGTTGTTTTTATCATTCGATAACCACATCAAGCAGTAGTGGGGTAGTTGACTGTTCGGAGAGCAAGTCGTCTGGTTCTTGCGCAGGGGTTCCGGTAACGTCAGAACGACGCCGCGTTCTGATTGGCTTCGATTGGACGCATAGTGAGCAGTCCTCACTGATAGATGCCTTGAGGTCTACCCACTATATTTTTCTTTTCAGTCGACCAATAAGAGTTTGGCGTTCTGACGTCATCGCAACCTCTGGGCAAGAAGCAGACGAACTTGCGCTCCGCTTAAAAAAAAGCAAGGCGTGGTGATCCTGTGCATCTCATTATATGGCTCCGCAGCCAATCAGATTGCGGCATTAGACGATAGGAGCACCGAAGAACCAATCACAATGCAAGAAGCGGGAACGTAATAGGCCCCACCCTGCTGTCATGAGACCATGCTGTAGTGTCGCCTACTGGCGGAAGGCAGCGCCACCTACGCGGAGGACACTTTGAAAGGAAGGCGAAGCCTAGAAGAGAAGACATGGAACTAGCGGACAAGACAGCGCGTAATTCATTTAAAAATGTTCATCCATTAAAATGCTGGGAGGAAAAAACAATAAATACTGAATAGCCAAAAAAAAAAACTGCTGTCGATATTTTATGGCAACGTGTAGAGTTGAATGTTTTAATTATTGGCTTTGCACTCTATTAAAGGAGTCATGAAACGCTTTTTCAACTTTTTTTTTGTTTAGCTTTCCTCCTCAACTCATAAATCGCGCATTGTACCAAACAGTTCAAGAAGTCGGAAAGGGGGGAGTCCCCTCTTGCTCGGAATCTCGCTTGTGTAGCCCGGACACAGCCATTGTCCCCCTAGAAGATTAGCCCGTCGCTCAAAATTCCGACTAGTTGCTTTCCCCACCCCGTTCACCCCGAAGCTGACAGTGCTGTGGAAGCTACGTGCTCGTTGGGCCAGCCACACATTTTCCACGTGATCACGCTCTCTCGCGCATACCGACCCGCAGAGAATGAGGTCAGGTGATGAAAGGGAGGCGGCTGATTGGTCCGGTAAGCGCGTAGCTTCCACCGCAATGTCAGCTTAGGGATGAAGGGATTAAGTGAGGTCCGGTGTCGTGTGACGTGCGCTTGGACCCTGGTGACGCGCTGCGGGGGCCCGGTTATGGTGGCTAGTAGCCCGGTGACGCGCTGCGGGGTCCGCGGATGTATCACAGTGAAAAGGCGGAGAGTTTACGAAGGGAAGGAGGTACGAAATAGTCCGCTATGTTTTGCACATTTTTGTAGCGAAAGTCAGGCTTCTGACTTTCTACCTTTGTTCTTTTGGCCCACTGAACGATGTGCTATTAGTAAAATCCCAATATAAATTGATTTACTCCAGCCCAAAATTCGTTTCATGGGTCCTTTAAGATACCATACTTTGAAAGAATTAGTTCGAAGTGGGATGGGCGTTTTAGTAAATAGCGAACACTTAAGTGGAATATACACATAGTCTTCGGATGATGCTAATGCTATAGCAGCTACTCCTAAATGTTAAGGTAAAGGCAGGTGGTACTCTTACTACATTTGTTTTCAGAATCTGTTACATTGCCAACATTTTATTATGAACGTGTATGATAAAATTTACAAAATAATCTCGACAGACCCTCCAGTACGAGCTCAGGACAAAAACACAGAAAAAAGCAGACTGTCGTGAATACCAAAAAAAAAAGAAAAAAAAGTACACAAATTATATATAATATAGAGACAAAAACAGCTCATAAATTTGCCAGCCAACATAAACGAAAGCTGAAACCGGGTTGAACAGAGCCTGTACAAGAGGTCTCCAGAACAACCAACACCACTAGCAAACAAAAGCACCCGCAAGCCTGAGTAAAAATGCATAAAAGCACCCATAACGCGCTAAAGATATGAAACTGCAGAAGTGAATGTACACAAAGCACTGAGCAGTGATAAGTTGAAGACGATCTGTGTGTGTATGCCAGTTTTTAAACATTTAGTTGTGTCTGTCTTCTGTCCCTTCTAATTTATCCTCAAGTTTCGTTCCCAGCCTCAGGATTTTCACGTCATGATTAATACGCACCAGTTTGCATACACTTGAAACATTTTTTCGCTAATAGTTTTTTTTAATTTTCATTAAAATAGGAAATGTTCCTACTGTCTAAAATGTGGCCACCACTTGCAAGGACCCTGTAGAAAACAAATTCACCAGAAAATTTTTATTTTCACTGAAAACGCAACAAACAGGAGACAGTCCCACTTGAAAACACTTTACATCTAGAAAAACAATTGGGATATTTTAAGGGGCCACAAAATATGTTTTCACTTTGATCAGCTAGTGCTTAGACGATAGAGCTCATCATGTTCACGGAGAATTTTGCAGGTGCTAGCTTTTAATTACACTCACTATTTTGCAAATTAGAAACAACAACAATAACAACAACACAAACATGGATCCTCTAACCTTCCTTTCCTGCTCGACCGATTTTTGTTTTTTCTTGGGAACATAAGGTCACCTGAGCACGATGTGCCAAATGCAGTTCGAAGGCTACCAACAAACATTTGAGTAATACCTTGTGGATACAGCGTGCTTTCTGCTGATGTGCTTTCTATCGTTAACTTGCCTCCGAACTTCGACGTTTTAAAAATAATCCTGCATACCACAGCATCCACCTACTTCCTTCTGAGGTTACATTTTTATGTTATAACATTCCATCTTGAAACAATGGTGCCACGAGTGATTACATATGATTATTTTCTTATATAGTTCACGACAATCCCAAACCGAGCCACTTGGATTCACAAAGCCCCTGCTTGCCAGGGCAAGGCCCTCGGCAAGCTGGAAGGAAGAACCACGCTGTCCTGGCCCAGTGGCTTCACCAAGGTAAAAACTGCCCGTCTCTTCGGTATATCCAAGATGGACATTAACTGTATACATTTATACGATTAATGTCTCGTTATTACAGATTTCAATAGCTTCACAATAGCTTCACCCTTGTTGGTGTTAGACTGGTGGCGGCTGATAAAACCCGTTTGCTCTACTGATGTCTAACCCCTGGTTAGCTCAATTGGTAGAGCGCTCCACCTGTAATGGAGAGGTCCGGGGTTCGATACCCGGACCAGGCGGAATTTTTCGGTCGCGCACCAGTCACCTAGCTGTGTTTGGAGATTTGTGTTTGTCCTTTTTCCCTCTTGTTCCCCTTCTCCAGGAAGTACTCTGGAGCTTCTGGTAGACTTTTTTCTTAAGTTGCCCGTTAAGGCTGGTTTACACACGTGAGACATTTCGACCAAGTGGCTTACAAGTTACAACCTCTGGGGACCTCTTTCGGCGAGAGAACACACGTCATCTATCAGCTGGCCATGGAGCCCTTGGCATTTCCCTACTTTTCTATTTTTGTTTCGTGCATTACGTTTCTTTTTTCTTTTTTTTTTGCCTGAGAAATTGTTGACAATGTTGTAAACGGCCATTTCTAGGAAGTACATTTGACCTCTCAACTACTGCAAAAAAATTAAAACGAAAACATTCGCTTTATGGAAATGCAGTTCCAGGGTCACCTCATAAATGGCGCCAGCGTGCCAGTGTGTTTTTCCGTCTTAAGAAAGGCAAGAACTCGGTCGAAGCAATCGCAAGTGTGTGAGCGGGCCTTCATGTTAGAAACAAATGTTCGAAAGGTCACAAAGGCAATGTTGTTTACAGCAGGATTTGAAATGTTTCAGTTTCAACTCGCGACGTTCTTTGGTGTGTGTGTGTGTGTGGGACCATACCTGTTTTGCCGTATGTGTATACTTCTCGTCAAAATATTTATGTTCGTTATGCTGATATAATTAAAAACTCTAGAATATGCACAAAAGTTGAGGAGAATTTTTTTCAATTCCCGGTTTTCCTACATCGCTGGTTCGTGCGTATGCTATCTATCGAGCCGGCAGCCGTTACATGCATGGAGTGGAACGGGACCAAGGTATGGACCCCTAGCAACATACAGTCTTAAATCTTAAGCCGGGGTCACACTGCTTATACATTGTACAAAATGCAGTCTGCATACAGATTCGAACACGAGTCTCCGCGAGAGCCGCGCTTCGAATGCCGCGTGGCAATGAGTTCAAGAAGAAAACTTGGCACGCGGCATTGGAACCATGGATATTGCGGTTCGCAGACTGTCTTTGTATGATATATCATCACCTCTGGTACTTATATTCACTCACTGTTTAAAAACCGCAGGGAGTTGCTTTCCGTGCTCTCACTCCTTGTAAAAGAACTTGTGGTTGGGCTAGTCGGTGTTGACTGTATTGAACCATGGTTAAAAGCGCTAAAAAAAGACGTACACAAGATAGAAGACAAACACGGGCACTTCACTCCTTGCTTCGTGATGGCTCTCTCCCATGTTCTTATCGACTAATGCCAGAAGCCTACTGACTGCGGATGAATAGTAAGATGCTCAGCGGTGATCGCCACGCCATATGTTCCTTAAGGTGTCAGTCATTTGAGCCAGACTCCTAAATACGCGAAAAGCTTTCGTAAGTACTATTTACAATTTCCGTCTTGCTTACAGGGCTTCTGCGTGTTCCGGGAATTATGAGAATAATCAACGCCTTTGTCCGAGCGGAGCAACAAAACCAAAAAGGTAAAGAGCCACGTCATCGGAGAGTCATATTGTTTGCTCTGTTGCCCGGCTTCAGAGTGGGACACTGCCCAGTTTTCCAGTTTAAATAAGCATAGTGTTTTCCTCAATATCGATCATACAAAGATTCAGAAGGAACAGGGACGAACATGAATTGCGAAATTCAGCGGCATCTGGTGGTTCAAACTCTGTTTTCATGAAAGCGTATTTTACCGGGCATAACCTGCGAACGTCAATGGAAGGTAAGATCTTCGATCACACGCGTAATTCTATCTTCGTTCGTTTCGGTTTCGATGGTGTGAACATAGGAACTGACCAGTAGAAAGCGGTGACCCACAAGACCCTCGATTAAATTTTCGCCACAAACTTGTGCCAATCAATCGTTTGGCACATAGGCTAACTTGTGCCAAGCGATTGATTGGTCCACTCCAAAACAAACGCTTACACAGACCTTGTATCTAAGTCGTGCGTCATGTTGTACTGACGTCTTGGACGTAGAGGCCTCATATACCCTCCATTTGGAAGTATCTTCAACTCCTTCCTTGATTAGCCTCAAAAAGGCCGCCATTATAGTTTGGCACAGATGCCATACATTGCGACGATAATAGTGATCAAAACTCCATTGCAGGAATCTGTTTTCTGCTCACAGGCAGTCCCCATACCCGGTGAGGGCAAAAGATGACTCGTTTGTGGAAAGCGTGTCGGTCTTTATTATATATACTTTAGATGAAATCAGGGCGAATGCTTATATAAACTTTCTATAAATATTCGAGATCAATCAGGCGAGAAGAAAGAAAGCAAGAAAATATTAAAGAAATGGCAGTTGACCACGGGCCATCTATCATGTTGGCTACGCGGGCAATTATATTACGCTATTTTATTATTAGCAGTTTAACTCTGAAAACACTTGTCGTTATTGCACACTTCAACGTTAAACATTTCGAAATGAATCTGCAAGTTCAAATGGGGCTGATATCAAGTAACTCAAACCTGGCTGTTTGGGAAATTTGTATCGTATTGCTTTGAGATCCGCTTCTAGTGCTTTCATCGATAAAAAAAAAAAAATATATATATATATATATATATATATATATATATATATATATATATATATATAGACGCTTTGCAGCAGCTGTGCATAGACGCCGCCATACCTGACCTTCAGTTTCTGTTTCCACTTATTCCATTTATTTCACTTCATCATTACCATAGCAGGCCAGGTTATTGCCATATTAGATTCAACTGTGTCCTTTTCTAAAGCATCGGCCTTTGTAGAGGATCGCCAAATACCGTTTCAGTTTCTCGGCATCTCGGTAAAGCAAGAGAAGGTCAGCAATGGCGGCTGTAATTTGGCGCGTGTGTAAAGCGTCCATATATTTCAGTCACTAAAGGCACCTTGTGTTGCGTGATGGAAACATCATCTTAACTTCACCCTACCATATCATCCCGGCCGAGACGTCAAACTCGTTATTTCCTCGCAGGATGCTGCGTAAATATGACTCTTCCCAACGCCTATGGAATCGACTCGGTGAGTTCACTGCCATGTAATATATCTACTGCATATCATCATTGGTGACTTATTCTGTTTTCGTTTTATTATTTATTTCCAGCTTAAGAAACGTAGAGCGTGACCAATTGGGAGCGTTCCATTTCTTGAAGAATTATTCCCTATTATATGACAGCGGATATCTTACTATCTTCCCAGATATGCGAATCATAGCGAGTGCTCAGTTTTTTCATGTTTTTAAATCTACGTGTCTCTCTTTATCTTTATTAGTGCTTCCATGACGTTGGTCGGGACCTATGCGACGTGTCAGCGGCGGTAAGTGTTTTCGCTTCGGTTGTTTTTATTGCGTTCCTGAATCTTTTTTTTTTTATGGGAATCAGACTGCGCAGTTTATAACAACCTAACACGGTTTTTTTCACGTCAGCGTAAGCTCTGAGGCGGTATATATTTTTTTTTTTTTTTTGCATCCAACACATTCAGCTCCGTAATGTCTTCATTGCTTCTGCAAAAAAAAAAAAAGTTTTTTTTTTAAAGAAGGAACAGAGTAATGGGGGCAAAGATCATAAGTCCTTTGGTGTTTCTTATTGGTTTTTAAGTTGAACAGAAACTCAATGCACACATAGAGCGTATTCAACATCTAGTATCAACAACGTGTCTTGTGCGGGAACATTCTTCTTTAGTCACAATATCACAAAAAAGCAGCCAATGTCGATAGATTGTTTATTATGTTTGAGTTTATTTTCAAGTGTGGAGTGAATTGGTTTTTCGTCTCGTATTTCAATCTTAACTAAACGCGAATTTATAATCAGAATCTGACGCAAGGAAGTCTGGACCGTTTCCCATTTTCATACTAATTTTGCACTTCAATTCATTGTTCATAATTTGCCCACATTGCTTAAAAACTTCGTTTCCGACCACTTTGATATTCACTGTTTAATTAAAAGCAGTGTACGCGTATCTTGTTTAGGTGATAGTGTTCTTGTTTTATTTTATTGTGTTCTTCATGTACAGGGCCGCCGGACCTTCAAGCTTTCTATTGGAAGCTTTTTTGTCCGGTGTCCAAGTGAAATATTTGTTCTGATAAAGTTAAAAATTCAAAATTCGAGGAAAACGGTTCTATAAAATTTAATGAACATCTAACATTTTTATCGTTGTCTTTGTTATCTCTGTTTATATTTACACCAGCACCGCATAGCGGTTGAGTTTAAAGGCAATTAAAATCTGCATTCTTCTTTCATGAATATCTCTTCTTTCATGAATATTGAAAGCGTGGGTGACGTAAAGTTTTACAGGGGACCAAAAACTGTGCCTCATGAGACATGAAGTGTCGGTCGAAGGATATAGAGAGGATTAGAAGAAAAAAAATGGCACGAGGTGTAAAAACTTTGCAACAACCAGCTTTACACAAAATAATAAGAAAAGGAAGTTTGTATATACACATGTTTATTTTGTTTTACTTCGCAGGGCCTGTCGTCGCTGGTGATGGTGAGTTCGACGTTTTCTGAAAGACATAGTTTTAGCACAGGGAGCCACATTTTGGGCCCCTCGCTTAGGGCGCTGCACTGCACAGGCACAAAACTTCTCTGCCTTCGCAGAATTTTTGCGCACAGGGAAACCTTGTCTTAAAGCTCTCTACTAACTGTCTACGCCACTAAAATAGCTGTTTAGTTTTAAGGCGTCACTTGTACTTCCGTGGGCCTCCAGGGTATGTTTATCCAATACCCTAAGCCCTACAATTTGCCACAATGATAATTGTTTGTGCTGCTGAAACAGAAAAGGCCGGCAATAGAGTAGCTATTTTCCGCGTCCAAATGACCACTTCTTCAAATGACAAAAAATGAGATGCGAATATTTTTGCTCGTTTATGGGGAGTGGACAGTGAACCTTGCCACTGTAGAATGAAAAGAAAAAAAAAAAAAGAAAATCGGCGCCTGCAGATAGAAATCTCAAGCATTCACCGAATATGTACATTTAATCTGGAAAATTTACAAGGTGTAGCTCTCTTTCTACGAAAATTGAGACCGTCAATTCTTGTCAGGGTCAACGGCGGACGGGTTCGCAGACGACCAAGTTAGCGATGGTTTTAACTTGTGGCGCCACCTCACAGTAAGCGCAAGAAGCAGACAAAGCAAATCAAACCAAATCAAATTGCTTTATTTTGCCACAAACTGTACATATGTGACAAGGGCGTGAAAAAAAAAAGCTGCATGTTCGCCTTTTGACAGGTTACAACCTCCTCTGTTCTAGCCACGATGGGGGCCATCATAGCTAGAGCCGAGAAGGTATAAAATAAATTTACATATGCATATGTACGTGCATATAAACAAGAACGAAATACAGGGCCGCAAAACTTTTTCACCCTTTTTTTAAGAACAAATAATTTGTGCTGAAAAGGCAAGATATACACCGGAGACGCGGAGAGGAGGGGGGCCAGGATTCTGAGAACTCTCTTGGGCTACGTGTCCCAGGGGGAGTTCAGGGGGAGTTCAGGGGGAGTTCAGGGGGAGCTCAGGACTTCTAGGCTAGCGCTCCTCTCCGACACCCCGAGCCTGCCGTGCAGCATCTTTCCTCATCGGATTCCCAATTACCATCAGAAGCATCGTCGCCAACGGGAGGCCTTTGAAAATCGCCCAGACTTCCAGCTGCGGGCAGCGCATGAGCAGGCAACCTGAATGTTAGGATGCATATACTCCTGTGGGGGCTCTCGATTTTTAATACACGTCCATTCCTTCCTTCCTTACTCTTTTTTTAAGTCAGGGTAGTTAGGCAAAATCTAGGAAGGTGGTCAGTGATATCACATGAGAGGGCCCCAGTTGTAGTGCCTGCATCATGTATATTTGTTATACGTGAGTCGAGTGACGACGCGGAATTTGAAGAGATCCTGGTGGGCATCGTAGGATCATCGCATTTGAGCCCCCATAGGCTGCTATAACATTTGATAGTTATGTGGCTGTAGTAATATTCAAATTCATGTCAATGTTTATATATCACCTATCATTATAAATGGGAGTTGACAAGAAACAAAGAAAATATGCCGGGTTACAAGGAAATCAAAGAACTCGCACTTCTCTCCTGTAGTAGGCCTAAACACATCTAAGGCCGTCCTTTCCAGGCATTCTACAACCAAAGTAACAAAAAAAAAAAAAAAAGAAACTCTCGAGCAGCGTGGTAGATGATGTTGTGCTTAAAATGGCAATGCCTCTTCCTCGTTTTTGAGTCCGCGTTAAAACTCACATTTGAAGCCTTCAAAATTCGGTTCTCCGTCACTTTTTGTAAGCCATGTTTCGGTGAACATGGTCACGTCATTTTTGTCAATAGTCAATGTTATATCTACACCGGCAGTCCAAATTATACAACCGATAGGTACGGATATTTAAAGCGTTTAATTGTATTGTTTGGAAGAGAAGTGGCGCGTACATATAGAGTCCTTCGTTTTCGGGTAGAACCTGATATATCCCGATATTTACACGCCGAACATGTTTCTTGAAAAACGTGTTGAACCCAAGTTTTTGTCCGGAATCCGGAAGTTGAATACCGTACCATTTGGGATTGGTGTTCTCCGAAAATATTCTCTAGGAAACAAAGGGTTGGTAGAAATTGTGCGCGAGATATAGCCCTTGGAAACGCGAACCTAGATTTTCATTTATATTTTAGTTGACCTCACTTTCAAATTTTAACGTTCATTTTCTCGAGCTACATTTATCCAATTCATACGAAACTCTATATGCATAACCCATGTATCATTAGAATGACAAAACATATGTATTTATATAAATAAACTCTACAGGTTCCAAAATAAAAAACATTTTAAAAATAGCTTCACTTTTCTGCGTTATAAAAACGTTTGTGTGTCAACTAAAGCAAATATTGAGACATTAAAGTGCAAAGAATATCTTGATATTGCATTCGAGGAAAATTACATATCGATAGGTTGCACGCCTACTTCATTATAGGACATCAAACTTTTCCCATTGAGTTATGACAAGTCACTGTTTCGTGATAGCAAACACAGATGGCGCCCTCTGCCCAGGAATGGTTTTTAATTGTGTTTGTCGACGCGCGCCGCTCTGAGCGGTACATGAAAGACCAAAATGGCAGACGTCTGAAGGCTCGCGCGGAGCGCGGGCTAGCGATATCAGAACAACAAACGTGACGCTGCATGTGACAGATGCATACGCCCGTACGTTCCGCAGTGCATCGGTAGTTTTTCGATTTGAAAGAGACGCCGAAACAGGCTTTTGCAGCCTCTGATTTTGCCGCGGTGAGGATATTTTGAAAAATATTCCGTCTTTTCTTTCCCCTAAAGGCGAACAACGTATATTATATTATTATTATTATTATTATTATTTCACAGAACAGGGATTATGCCTTAACTTAGGCACACGAACGTCTATGAGAGTTTGGTGTTCAATACGCAATGAATATGAATACTATGCCCTCTCCAACCATAATCTCGCGGAAATTTAATGGATGTATCTGAAGGAGAGGGTTGTGCGACGATACCATGGGCTGCAATAACTCTCACTTTGCATAAGCATACTCACTAAAGTCACACACCAGGCCACTGACTCGGAAGCTTCTTTGATGGGGTGATTTCAAAGACAAAAACGGACCATTTTTGTCAAATGAAGACACTGACAAAAATGGTTCGCTTTTATCCTTGACCTGTTGGAATCCATCCTTCGTCAGGAATGACGCCTTCGTCAGGAATGACGAAGGCCGGACTCCGGCCGAAACGTACAAATAAACCCGTCTGTTGTTGCTGTTTCACCCAAGGTTCTCCATCTCATTATATATAACGTCTTCAGTAGATTTGTTCTGTATTGTTCTCGATATATCTAATGTTGTACAAGGTATTTAATAATTTGTAACTTTGATATTTAATTTATATGCTGTCCTCTTCCAAAGATGAACCGTAAGGGGAGGTGGAGGTCCCCAGAGCAGCTTTTTCCTCTACCTCCCCTCCCTCCCCCCTCCCTTTTTTTTTTTTGGGGGGGGGGGGGGGGAGGGGGAAAACAAAAAAGTGATTCCTTATCGCAAAAAATAAGATTTTGTTTTTGTTATTTTTTTTAGAAAAAAGACATTTTATCACAATAGACAGAAACGCTTAGAAGTGGCTCTAAACATATTCACGGGTAGAGGCCTTGATTTGAAATCTACTTGCTTTCTATTGCAGTGCGTTATTGACAAAATGGCGGCTTTCGGTTTCAACGGTTACCTGTTTACAAACTTCTACCCAACAATCGCCGAGTTATTCAAACGCACTGGTCAAAACTGTGAGTATAATTTCTGCTGTTTCAGTTTCACAACCACAGCTGTTAATGCAACCTCCCTGGGAACCTCCCCTGGAATTGCTTCTCGCTGTAGCAGTTTTCGCAGAGAACCCATTCCGCACGATCAACATACATTCAGCACCTACGTCTTTGCACGTATTGCGTTTTTTTTTTTTTTTTTCTTTACGTATCGGCAGTATGGAGCATAAAAAAGCATCAAAATCCGATACAACGGTACGATGCCAATGTGTTTTGACGGCCGGAGGCATGTTGGACTGCTCTTCATTTGTAGTTCGCAGACATCTCTCCAGACGGCGCTTGTCTCTCGAAAGGTTTTCTACAGCGTGAATGGTAAAACAAAATGGCTAGGTGGCGTAAGCTACCACCCGTTCCAGTGGGTTCAGCCGGATTCATCCATCCACCCATCCACCCGTTGATGAGCGCATGACGGCTTGGGCGGAAAGGGGGGTTTCGACGGAACCGCAGGTTGGAAGATCGCCACTTTACTTTAAAAAGGTACTGAACCGAAATTTGGATTTCGCAAAGTAAGGCCACAGAAACGTTCAACGGGACGCTACAAACTCCAAAACATCACCCATACATCGATATCTCAGAGGGATGGATGCACTTTTGAAAAAGAAGGGCGCGATCAAGCGAGGTCTTTGACGTCATTGTCCTCCAGGAGAATTCGAGAATGAGGGGAAGCAGCCTCGCTTCTGTCCTCCTCGCTTCACTTCACCAGCTCGACCAACACCTCCTTGAAATAAGGCCGGAGCGCTTTTCTCGTGACGTCGCTAAGGAAGGCCACCGGGGGCGCGCGTCGAAGCGAAGGCAACGCGCGTGGATCGACCGTCGTAACGTAGTTTGTGTCACATACGCGTGTCTTATTAGCTAAAATGAAAGCTGCACATAGCAACGGGTCTAAGAAACACTTTATTACACGGGCAAAACATTACACTGCTAAATAATCGGTATGAAATGGCACGAGGTATGCGTAGAAGACGTCTATAGAAAAATGTGATTGTATTAAGTCGAAAACATTGGGTCACGCAATTATTGCTGTAGGAATGCATATTTTATACAGAAATACTTCGACAAAATGGCGAGACACGCAGTGATTGGACACAGAAATACAGATCAGTTAAGAATAAGGTAGACGTAGCCAACGCGGACACGCCTCGACAAATGTCACTTACGACCATGCAAGCTATGTTATCGCGTGCAGTCACTGAATTCAAATTAATGTATATTCGATCGAATGACAATATGGGGTTGACAAATCAGCTTGCGACGCTCGTATAATCACTCAAAACAGCGAGCTGATCAGATCCCGTATCATTTAATCAAAATATATTAACTTTTCCGCGTGGCAGGGATACTAAACTTACTATTTACAGTCAACTAATTTACTTCTCCCTGTGGGCTCGAGCTGCTTAAGAGCAAAATATAACCAATTTTGCATACAATAATACTATTACCTTAATAAGTTAAGATTCTAGTATAAACGCGGCAAAGGCAATAAAATAACATTAGTATAAATAAACACATAAGCACAAACAACGCACTTTCAATAATCACAGAAACTTGTTATTTACCTTCCAGTAAAAACTAGAATATTACCCCGCATATTTACAAATGTCGACGCAATAGCAAACGGATAACGACGAAGAACAAAATTCCATTCTATCACGCGATTTAAAAAAAAATCGACTGCAGCACTTCACTTGCGTCTTACATGACCAAGAAAGCCCATAAATAAAATGTTTCTCACCAGTCGATCGCATCCATTCGTCCCACAAAATCCATCACGAAAACAGTTGAACACGAACTTCAAGAAGTCTCTCTCTGTCGAGAGAGAGGTCATCGACCAGAGCCATCGTTGACTAGTTGCCACACACGTCACTCAAACCGTAGCAGGACTTGTTTCACGAATCCATGTAAATGCTGTAGTATCAAGCGAACACAAAAAAAAACTACCCGAGACTGCGGTGACGACAAAAAAACGACGGGTAGGAGGATCGAAAGAACCACACACACACACACACACACACACACACACACACACACACACACACACACACACACACACACACACACACACACACACACACACACACACACACACACACACACACACACACACACACACACACACACACACACACACACACACACACACACACACACACACACACACACACACACACACACACACACACACACACACACACACACACACACACACACACACACACACACACACACACACACACACACACACACACACACACACACACACACACACACACACACACACACACACACACACACACACACACACACACACACACACACACACACACACACACACACACACACACACACACACACACACACACACACACACACACACACACACACACACACACACACACACACACACACACACACACACACACACACACACACACACACACACACACACACACACACACACACACACACACACACACACACACACACACACACACACACACACACACACACACACACACACACACACACACACACACACACACACACACACACACACACACACACACACACACACACACACACACACACACACACACACACACACACACACACACACACACACACACACACACACACACACACACACACACACACACACACACACACACACACACACACACACACACACACACACACACACACACACACACACACACACACACACACACACACACACACACACACGAGAGCAGTGGCAGCAGTGTGGGAGGAGAGGCTTTACATTGTCAACCCATCTCTTGCTCGTGTGCGCTCCCTGCGGCGATGACTGGATTTTTTTTCGGTTCCCTTCCCTTCTGAAATGTCTCAGCGTTCCCATTCAGGCAAGCAGCAGCTCACACACAACGTAAACTTACCAGAATCGGAGCCCGTATGAGGGAAGATGTCGCCTCGGAAATTCGGAGCCGGTTCATTCGAAAAGTGTAGGGAGCTGCGGGAACGCGCGTAGTCCCGCGGTTACGGGGATAATCATAAATATAAATTTGGTACTTTCAACCTTGATAACCCGTTCTATATTACGTTTATATTATATATATAATCAATTGTACAAGACTGCGCTTTTAAAACGTATATTAATGCCGGATAATCGAGCACGAACACCCCCGCGCCGCTCGAGAAGAAACATTTTTTTCACGTCGATAGCGGAAATGTTCTCACGTAGTTGCGCCATGGCCTTCCTTCCTCCGACATTGTGACGTAACCACTCGGAGCGCTACGGCCTTATTTCTAGGAAGTGTTGGCTCGACGGGACGTAGCGAGGAGAAGAGGGAATGGGAATCGTGACGGGTGCCTTGTCTCGTCGGCCTCGTCGGCCGTGTTCAATCGCGCACTTCTTTTCCAGAAATACGGCGATCTGTTAGAGATATCGCTGTGTGAGTGATGTTTTTGGGTTTTACAGACTCATACCTATCCAGCCTTGTTTTGTGAGCTCTTAATTTCGTTTCAGTATCCCTTTAACGCAATCTATTGAGGTAGTCCGAAAAGGGGAAAGGAGTTTAATATGTTGTTTCCCGGACATCGCAAAAGCCTACGACAACGTGCCACATGACCAGCTCCTCGGCCAACTCAAAGAGCTGAACGTGCGACCAGAGTGGGTCACCCTCATCCACCGTCCGTGCAATAGCAACACGATTAAGACATGGCTGGATGGAACCAACCCTGAGGAGGTCCTGGTAACGAGAAGTCTCCGTCAGGAATGCCAATTATTTCCGCTTTTGTACATGTTGCATGTAGCTCGGCTAGAGAAGGAACTCGTCCGGTGCGGGCTGGGCTTTTCGTTGGTCCACCTGGAAGCTGGGGGAAAAATCGACTGTATAAGGCCGGGATTGACATATGCAGACGACATAGTGCTTACAGCAGAATCAGTGAACGACATGCAGCTTTTATTAGACATCTGCGTAGAAGAAGCAGCGGGGCTTTTTTTGCAATTCAATGTCAACAAGTCGGCAGGAGTAGTACTCGCAGGTTTCTCAAACATAACACTGGGCGACCTTAGACCATGTGAAGACCACATATGCCAGTCCTCAGCGAGTACAAATACTTGGGCACCATCCTGTCAAACCCAGACGACTACTTGAAAGATCACCACGCTCACCTTCGCAAGCAGTCACTCGAGGAGCCATCATTCTCAGAAAACGAAGCCTCTGGAGTTGCAATAGGTTCATTGTGTCTAGGGGTGTGTGAAAGGTGGTGGTGGTGCCTGGATGAACCTTTGCTAACGCTTTGCTATGCGCCCCAGGAGATGTCCAAGCTCAGGGCAAAGAGAGGTTGGCCGCCAGGCGCTTGGCTGCCACGGGAGTGCACCAAATGAAGCCGTGCAGGGTGACCTGGGCCGGTCCTGTTTTGAGACTCGGGAAGCGAACAACAAAATTATGTTGAACGGACGGCGTCGACATACGAACACCTGCCGTTAGGCCAGTAGGGTGTTCCGATACACCCACCTCACAGCACTACAAACCCGCTGGAAAAGACGCTTAAATCAGCCCCAATAACGCAAACATGGTTTCTTTGCTGACCCCGTACAAGCATTGACGGCACAGGAACTGGACTCGGAGATCCGGCAGATGGTCCGAGATCATGAGACACAACAGTGACTCCAGGTGGCACACACCAGAGCCGTATATCTAGAGAGTTTGGTCAATGGGAGGCGCGGGCAGAGCCAGGGCGTGCACCAGATTCGGAAAGAGGGCTTGGCATGCTCTCTTGACCAACCAGAAGCCGAAAAGAATCCCCGAGCGGTGGTAGCGAGAAACCGTTCTGATCAAAGGCCTATGTTCGTAAATTGTTTTAATGAGCGCGTAAGAGTGAAGTTTAGTAACTCTTTGTGGTTGAAAATAGGGTGCACGTGTTATTTTGATCATGATCATGTAGAAAGATGTAAGACACGAATGCGCCGCTCAACTCTGTTTTGCTCGGACAGATTGTGACCGCTCGGACGGCAGATTCCCGGCCCTCGGCGCTTGGCGTACGGATTATGTCGATCGTTCCGCTAGTCGCACTCTTCCACCATCATTTTGGATGAGCGTGATTGAAACATCACGTGTACCATATTTTCAGTCATCGAGAGTTACTCTAATGCAGTTATCAGGTTTGTTTCTCGCGACCATTGCCAGGGTATTATTTCCGGCTTCTGTTTGGTCACATTCGAATTTCTGCAGACGCCCTGGAACACGCCCAGCCCGCTTTCGGCCAATGACGCCTCCTCATTTGTCTCCTATACCTCCCAACGAATGACCAAACTCTCTACATATATGGCTCTGGCACACACCAAGTCGACGGTGGATGTCTACGTGACATACAAGCAGAGCATCGCCCCAGGGACTCGGCTTTACGATAACAGCCTTGGCAGCGGATTGCTTTTTGAGGCACGAGCCGGGGCCCTGCGGACCCTGTCCTACAGGCGGCACTTTGACGCAACTGTGACCGTGAGTGTGTGCCGGGCGTGTGGGGCCCACGATGAAATAATAGCACATATTGTACTTGAATGCACGGCCCTAGTGCTGATCCTTCACAGTTCAGTGGCCCCTATCCTCAGAGCCCTCTGGCGCTCGCTCATGCTTTGGGCTTCAGTGAGTGCACTCACGAACGACATCAAGCCACCGATACAGGACGTGACGGATAAAGCCAACAGCCCTAACGCACAGTGGACAAACTGGGTTCAAACTGGTTGGCTCTTAAGACCTCAAGGCAACGTGTGGAGGACTGGTGGAGAAAAGTACATCTCAGGGGTAACTAAGCTCCCAATGGACCCCGAGGCTTGGTGCACGAATACAGGTCGAACGTGCCCGTCACAAAGGGAAGAGCCGTAACCTCATCATCATCATCATCATCAGGTAAAATAGCGCTGTACATCCTCCGTTCTCAAGGAAAAGGCAGATCCCTGTGGTAATAAAAGATCCATTGCGCGTTCATGCGCCTCAAAAACTCTCAGTGAGGTCATCAGCTACGTCATCAACACGTAATCACGATTGATGATGTAACTGATAACGATTACGGCGATTGGGCAGAAACGACCAATTGAACGGATTGTTCTCATGTTGGGCCCCACAGTGACTACGCTGGACTACCTCGCCTCGTACTGTCTGGATGGCTCCAGCGCCCTTCAGGTGTTTTGTGAAATCGACCCGAGCATCGAAGACTCTGCCTGCGGCACGCCCATTGTGTTCCAGGTACCTGCACCTCAACCTGACGAAAGCATGGTAAAGTACCGCCTGATTATTTTCTGGCATATGTTCTCGCAGGAACAACAACAAAAACAATAACAACAACAAATCAAATCTTCAGGAGAAGATACATGATGAGATGATATCTCTTCATATCACATTATCCCATTGATGAGGGATACTATTATTATCTATAGTAATTACGAACGATCTGATATTCTAACTGAAATTCTTTGGTGTGATTATTTGGGTATTCTTAGTTTAATAATAAATATGACAACGAAGTGCGCACAGATGCGCACTGACTAGAAGAAATGATGTCTACGAAAAAAAAAGTTCATTGCGGTCAGTTCGCAGATATAATAAGGAGGTTAAGAATTGCATTGGTGGAAGACGCTGACAATTAATGTAAAATATATAATATTTTAACTCATTCTGTAACATCTAATCTGCTAAATCTGATGAATGTGCTGTTTTCTATCCTACGTTAATTGTTCAGCATCTCTTATTTTGGAGACACGCAGATATAGAGAAACAAATACTGTGTTTTTGTTTAGGCTTTACAGATTTCATCGTTAAAAAAGAAGTCACGAAAGCTACATTAATGCGGTTTGTACAAGTGAGCTATACGGCCATGGTTGCAACTTGCAACTGCGTGAACAGTAGACGGAAAACCCAAGCGGGCGCGTTTCCGGAGGCCTGCGCCTGTTGCAGGCCTTCGCACGCGCTTCAAGTCCCTCCAAACTTTACTGATTTAGAGGATTTCCATGACGCTCAGTCAGCAAGTTTGTAATTCTAAACCTATATTTATCTTCGTGAATGGAAAAGTTAATGAACGATTCTTAGGTTATTTTCCGACTTAATGCGACGATTGGCCCTCTCTAATATGTCCCCCTTGCCGTATAAGTCGGTATCGTCCCAATCCGGCTGAAGCCTCAAATCGGCTATTGCCTCAATTCGGCTGGAAGTTTCAATTCGGCTGCACTTTCCAGTTCGGCTACATCCTCAATTCGGATAGAAGCTTCAATTCGGCTAGAAGTTTCAATTTGGCTCGACGCTTCAGTTTGGCTAAAAGTTTCAATTCGACTGGACGCTTCAGTTGGAACTGGAACGTGCAGCCGAATCGAAACTTCCAGCCGAATTGAGGTTTCAGCCGGATTGGGACGTAACCGTATAAGTCGCCTGCTCAAACCGCGTTTTGGCAGACTTTCATGTTTCTTTTTTTTTGTTTTTTTTGTTTAAGAAACTTATAAAGCCGAAAAAAAGAAAGGAAGAAAAAAATTGCATATCGAAATCTCGAGCTTAATGCGTTCAATTAACACAGCTCTGGCACGCACTCGCTACGGTTGCACCCTTTATTTATTTCTTAAAATGGTTTCACCTTGCTTTCAATCTATTGACTTTCAGTGCGAGCCGAATGAAGCCTGCCAAGGCGTTCCACCTACGGATGTAAGTTATTTCTTCCGCAATGGTGGAGTTAGGTTACGACTATAGTCGCGGATAAAGTAAGAACGGCAGAGCGTGCCTTTCGAACGCCGGGCCTCCAGCATGCTCCCATGCATGCCTTCCGCCGTGCTTTGGCTGCGCGTGTGTGCTCAACGTTCACGAGACATGGAAGCATTGTCGAAGGTAGCAGCAGTTGCGCTGGAGACGGGACAACCGAAGCACCCCACCTTGCCGTTCTTGTCTTATCAGTGACTATAGTGTGCCTAGATTTGAGAGCGCTCCCAACTGCTCGACCGGAATCACGTGGTTTACGGGCCGCGTTTGTTACACGAGCTGCGAGGAGTCAAAAGCGATGATCGTCTGCAAGCGTCCCTGGATGGATGGATGGGTGTTAATCAGAGCCGTGTATTTAGAGAGTTTGGTCAATAAAAGGCGCGGTCAGAGCCAGCGCGCGCACCAGACACGAAAGAGGGCTTGGCGTGCTCTCTTGACCAACCAGGAGCCGAAAAAAATCCCCTAGCGGTGGTAGCGAGAAACAGTTCTGATCGAAGGTATATGTTCGTATGTGGTTTGAATAAGCGCGCAAGAGTGCAGTGTAACAACTCTTCGTGGTTGAATATAGGATGCACGTGATGTTTTGATCATGATCATGCAGAAAGATGTAAGAAACGAATGCGCCGCTCAACTCCGTTTTGCTCGGACAGAGTGTGACCGCTCGGACGGGAGATTCCCGGCCCTCGGCGCTTGGCGTAAGGATTATGTCAATCGTTCCGATAGTCGCACTCTTCCACCATCATTTTGGATGAGCGTGATTGAAACATCACGTGTGCCATATTTTCAGTCACCGAGAGTTACTCCGATGCAGTTATCAGGTTTGTTTCTTGCGACCACCGCCAGGGTATTATTTCCGACTTCTGGTTGGTCACATTCGAATTTGTGAAGACGCCCTGGAACACACCCAGCCCGCTTTTGGCCAATAGCGCCTCCTCATTTGTCTCCTATACTTCCCAACGAATGGCCAAACTCTCTACATATACGGCTCTGGTGTTAATGGCCATACACTTTGTAACGGGCGGTAGCTTGCGCCACCTAGCCTATACCTGCTCAACCCTTCCACCCCCTATTCTACCCGCCACGCGATAGCCCACGCATGTGCATTAGCAACCAATCTGCATGGGAAGGTTTTCGCAAAAGCACTCAGTGGTATTGGTTGCTTTATCGCACAAATATATAGGGAGTCTAAAGTCACCAGGCTCAATCTAAAATAGACCGTAAAAATCGGCGTCTGCACGTAGCAACCTAAACTTTTCGGCAAAGGTGTATATCACAGGTCGGTTTTTACTTGTAAAATTAGAAAGCGTAGCTTCCGTCTTGTAAAAAAATAGGGCCAAGAAACGTGCCAGGGTCAACGGCGGGCGGCGACGCAGACGACCAAGTCGAGCTGCGGCGTGTGTATGGCGCTCGTATTGATAGATGACGCTACATCTTTATCGAGACTGCTCGCGACCACCGTGGTTTATTAAAATGAACAACATATTTTCGTAATGTTCCTCTGATTTAAATACAAATGCAAACAATAAAATTGAAACTTACAGTTAAAAAAAAACGCGTTTGCATAACGACGGCGCTTTTGCTGCCAACGGATTTCGTTGCGTGTCGTCTGGTTTCTTTCGCTGGTCGGCTACACCTTCGGACGCTGCTCCCGACGCCATCTATCAATACGAGCGCCAAACACACCCTGCAACTCGACTTGGTCGTATGCGTCGCCGCCCGCCGTTCACCCTAGCAAGTTTCTTGGCCCTATTTTTTTTTTACAGAAAGGGAGCTACGCTTTGTAATTCTACACAAAAAAAAAAAAAAAAAAAAAAAACGACCTGTGAAATACATCTTTGACGAAAAGTCTAGATTTCTTCGTGCAGGCGCCGATTTTTGCGGTCCAATTTAGATCGAGCCTGGTGAATTGAGACACCCTATATATATCGTCAAGACAAGAAATTATATATTGTGAACGCTTGTGAGACTTATATCAGTGAAAAACACCCGTCATCAAGAAAGCGAATATTGTTTTCTCTCTTTATGACAAGTTCGTTTCATTGAAATAGATACTACAGGGGACCACAATGTCACATTTTTGTTTTGACGACATTAGGCTTGGGCGGACGTCCGCTCATTGAGAAATTTCGTTTTTCTGAGTTATCGCTTGATTCAGGTGACTTCATTTTGTTTTTTTTCAAATCTTCGCGTTCCATCCCGACCGCTAGCGTCGTATTCTCACGGAGCTTGAGCTCTCTGCGATGTATTGCCTTATCTACACGGGCCGAAAAACACGGTTCTCTTTTCTTGAGAACTCCCCGTACTTCGTGTCACTTATACGATCCAGACGCAGGTGACGCTACGAACTCATTGGACCATGCGTCAGACAGCGTTAAAAATACAAGTCATCGGGCCTTTTCTGTACATTATTGGTTCAGCGATAATAGAACACGTAAACAAAAACGTGACGAACACCATATCGGTGCGCTGTTGACGGTATCATCGGACCGTCAACGTGCATGCTTATTATGTTCACGGTTCCTGATTGGTCCTTCGACGTTCCTATTGGCTAACGCTGTAAGCTGATTGGCTGCGGAGAGATCAGATTATGCCCATGGACTCGCCCCGCGTACCTTAACAGTGATAATCGAAATACTTTGAACGATAGCCGCACCAAGATGGTTTCAGGTAGTTATATGTAAAGAGGCGTTTGGTCTTTTATGAACGGCTGATATATCCTAACGTACATTTTTGGCCTGAGGAGAAAGAGCACACTCTACACAAATAATTTACGATGAGTTGGGGGGCTTTCAAGTAACTAATAGGCGTAATTTTCAACCTTGAACCGAACATAAAAGATGACCAATGTTCGATTTTGCGTCAAACACCTTTTACATATGTTCATGTTGTTTTTCGTGTTTTTTTTTTTTCTTTTCTAGCCGACCTTTAGCCGACTTCTCTCGGACGAATTCGTGGTAAGATTTTCTTTTAGACGATGAAGGATGTCTCTGATTTCCCGTCATTCTTAATATCTCTTTCGTGTTCTCCGTCTTTTTTATTTCTTTTTTTTTTTGGCTGTTTGTTTGAGAAACTAACTTTCAGGGCGCCGAAAATACACAAGGACAAGATACAAGAAAGGAGACGTGAACAAGGCGCACTCGCAACTAGCGTTTATGAAAAAACCACTCTCTTATATACTCATGGAAAACAACACACTCATACTACACAGTCATACTACACAGTCATACTACACAGTCATACTACGTCCGGTGTAGCCCCCTTCGTAGAAAAGTGTGCTCTTTTGCCGATAGTGACACAGACGTGTCACTAATGCAGTCCTTGCCCTTTTCTTTTATTTCGAAGGCCTCGTGCAGCTCCCTCGATATCCGATCGGCGTATCTGGCCAAAAACCTCGTGTCACTAAATGACGGTGTGCAGGAGCAACGGCTGCAGTGTGTGGCGAGGTGTCCCGACGGGGTAGCCCGTGTAGCCGCAGCATGTTCGCGGGCGCGATCATTAAAGCATCTGCCCGTTTGGCCAATGTACGATGCTCCGCATGACATGGGGATTTCGTATATGACGCCCGTAGCACATTCCGTGTACCTGTTGCGGTGCTTCGTATTGCAAGGATCTGCTGACTCACGGGGATTGTTGATTCTGCGACACAGTCTCGATAGTTTGTTTGGTGCGGAGAACACAATAGGCACATCGTACCTATCAGCAACCTTTTTAAGATTGTGGGTTAGTGAGTGTACATAGGGGATTACCACCGGCCTCACTGCTGCTCTTTCACGGGGCTGCCTCCGTGTGCCTTTGAACTTTTTTATTAGGGTGTCCGCTACATCCACCAGAACTCTCTGCGGGTAGCCCGCTACCCGCAGAGAGTTCTGGCGGCTGCAGCGGGCTACCCGCAGAGAGTTCTGGTGGATGTAGCGGACACCCTAATAAAAAAGTTCAAAGGCACACGGAGGCAGCCCCGTGAAAGAGCAGCAGTGAGGCCGGTGGTAATCCCCTATGTACACTCACTAACCCACAATCTTAAAAAGGTTGCTGATAGGTACGATGTGCCTATTGTGTTCTCCGCACCAAACAAACTATCGAGACTGTGTCGCAGAATCAACAATCTCCGTGAGTCAGCAGATCCTTGCAATACGAAGCACCGCAACAGGTACACGGAATGTGCTACGGGCGTCATATACGAAATCCCCATGTCATGCGGAGCATCGTACATTGGCCAAACGGGCAGATGCTTTAATGATCGCGCCCGCGAACATGCTGCGGCTGCACGGGCTACCCCGTCGGGACACCTCGCCACGCACTGCAGCCGTTGCTCCTGCACACCGTCATTTAGTGACACGAGGTTTTTGGCCAGATACGCCGATCGGATATCGAGGGAGCTGCACGAGCCCTTCGAAATAAAAGAAAAGGGTAAGGACTGCATTAGTGACACGTCTGTGTCACTATCGGCAAAAGAGCACACTTTTCTACGAAGGGGGCTACACCGGACGTAGTATGACTGTGTTGTATGACTGTGTAGTATGACTGTGTAGTATGACTGTGTAGTATGACTTTGTAGTATGACTGTGTTGTTTTCCATGAGTATATAAGAGAGTGGTTTTTTCATAAACGCTAGTTGCGAGTGCGCCTTGTTCACGTCTCCTTTCTTGTATCTTGTCCTTGTGTATTTTCGGCGCCCTGAAAGTTATCATGAACCAACTAGCCCAGATTGCCATTCTAATGTTTGAGAAACGTTTGCTATCAGCGACCGACAAAGCGAGTCTCGCACAGCGAATGCGCCGCAATCCTGCGCTTTTTGCAGCGTGTGACTGGTTTAGCCGGGTATATATCAACCCCCACAAAGACGCCAAATGCCATCGGACAATGCGCATTTGGTGCTGCTTGATTAGCCCCATCTGGTCGTAAAGCACGGCAAAACTTTATAAAGTGAAAGGGAGTGTACGGCGAGCAAGTTTGTCTCATCCTTGCCCATGCACCTCCGGCGTTTGTTTACAAGCCAAGCGCGTACTCTTGTTTCCCTTCTACCTCAACAATGACGGCGCCTGCTTGGCTAAAAACACAAAAAAAGCGTCATCGCGCTTTCTTTTTTTTAAACCGAGCATTAACGCGATTGACTTTTCTGGGATCGTCGGGCCACTTTGAGGGTATGTTTACGACCGTTCGTCCTCCCCGATAAATTTAGCGGAGAAAATAACGTCACACGGCTTGATGTCACCTGACCCATAATACACAAATGCAGTTTCCCCCCTAGATTTAGCGGGGAATTTGACGTCATGCGACCTTAGCACTAATTCACTTCCCCATCTAAATTTAGCGGGAAAATGGCGTCACGTGACTTTCTGTCACGTCACCCATACAGAAATTTAGTTCGTCTGTTAAATTTAGGGAAACAATTGATACCACATGACCTACGCAAAAATTCTGTTTCCCAGCTAGATTTCGCAGGAAGTCAGCGTCACCTGACCTCGACACCAATCCAGTCTCTCCGCTATATTTAGCGGGGAAAACGACGTCACATGACTTGATGTCACGGCCTCAACAAATATTCAGTTTCCCCGCTAAATTTAGCGGAGAAAATTACGTCATATGACTTGATGTCACGTGATCCCACACTCAAATTCAGTTTATCCGCTAAATTTAGCAGGAAAATTTACGTCCGACCTGCCACGGTTTTTTAAGTTATGTCTGCCGCTAATCGCTTAATTAACAGCAACACAGCTGGTTCTGCCCGCAATTTTTATGATGCCGTTTGATTGCCGTGCCCCTCTTTGCCATCCGACGTGCCAGATCGAGGCGCATTTTGGTACACTTGCCCGCCGTATATTCTCAAGTTTCACGTACTCTCGGGGACGCGCTACACATCTGCTCACCATACCCACGCGCGGAGAGGAGGTGGCAGATTGGCACGGCGGGCACGAATCAATCAATCAATCAATCATTCATTTATCCAATCAATCAATCAATCAATTCACACCGCGGTACCACCATCGCTGAAAGTTGCGAACACCTTTTGCGTCGCTTGGCGCTCTGATGTGTCCTCACATTCTCACCTCTTCCTCCGGCAGTCTCTCTACTCATTCTAGTCTATTTGAATGGGTCTACCCGTGAGTGACATTCAATGCTTGTCTTTGGGTCTTTCATTCTGTTGTAGTGTCTGGTCAATCTTCAGCCGATGACGACAAGTATGATAGTGTACAATGACGTGGGTGCTACCTCAGCCAACTGCTGAACCAGACGGATTATACGAGATACCCGGTGACAGACCAGGTGGAAACTGTCCATTCTCAGCTGCTAGCTGCAACTGTCTGTGAGTACCGCACAGGACACCCTCACTTAAGTACAGAGTGTTTGGGAGAAAACGGTGCCATGTTTGTTTGTTTTTTCATTCACACCGCAACTCAGAAAGCTATGTCCCCCCGCCCAGGTGTGAAGTCACGGCCTGGGACGAGCTGAGAAAGGTTTTAAATCTTAGCTTTACCTGATTCAAAAGTTATAAACGAGTTTTGGAGGATTTCTGTGGGCAAAAGACACCCGTTCCTTGTAGCGGACTTCGTTCAACTCCTTTTATTTATTTATTGTGCCCTCAGGGCCCGAAGGCATTACAGAGTGGGAGAGCGTAGGCAGGGAAAATATAGCAAGTCAGCAATACTAAAACAAATAAAAAGTGAACAAACATGTCAAAAATCAGTGCAAAAATTGACCATCAATTTCTCGTGGAACATTTCCGGAAATGGCTAATATTTTTTTACATCTGTTGAATGTAAGTTTTAAAACTTCGACACCTGCCGTGGTTCGAATTGCTGGGGTACATTTAGTCGGAGCGTTTAAAGATACGTAGGTTATTATTGAACAAATACCCAATCCAGTTTTCTCCCAAACACTCGGTACAGCAAAAGTATAAAAAACTTGGTATAGTAAAAAACAAGAAAAAAAAGTTACAGTAAAAGAAAGACTTAATAAAAAGGAGTACCTGGTTGTAATATTATAAACTTAGATTTTTTTATTTTTCACTTCTTATTAGTTATCAAACTTTATTCAAAAATTTGCCTTAAAGGGGCACTGACACATCAAAATCATATTTTTTTTATTATCCGAAACGATTGAAAACGATGCCGGGACATTACCCACAAAATTTGAGATTTGGGAATTCAGTATTCGTGAAGTAAAAAAACAATTTCCAAATGCCGAATTCGAAGTTCCCGCGCGATCGGCGCCGGTGCCTTGACGTCAAAAATTGAGGAGACCTGAGAGTCGACTTCCTTTCACCACTCCCTGCTGTTGCCATGGTGACCCAAAGCGAGGAGGAAAGGAGTGAGCGGCGGCGCGGACCGGTTTTGAGCGGTGTCGCCTGTTTTCCGTTGGAGGATACAAATCCAGGAGACGACACCACAACGAACTCCCGATTTTTGGTATTTCAAAAAGAAGGGCCGTAGTGCGTTCGCAATTGCGTTAAAAAACATGTTTTAGGATTGCCGTAATTAAATGTTCTAGAGATGTCGCCTACAAAGCTTCTAAATTTCCTGATTTTTGACGTCACCGATCAAAAATAGCGAGGAGGCGAGAGGCGGGAAAATCAAACGCCCAAAATAAAAAGGCGCGCGCGCGCGCGGGAAAATTTTTTTTCGCGATGCGGTTTTTTTTGCGTGTCTATGACTGCAACTTGCATCGTTTTAGACAATAAAAATAAATACGACCTTTGGGGTGTCAGTGCCCCTTTAATTAAAATCTGTCTGGGTTTTCAGAGCAAACATTGCTGATAGTGATTTGTTAGATGCACTCTAAATATGCCGGAAACTTTTATTTCGTTATGAAAGTCATTCATAACGGTCAGAAGTACGATAGGTGCAATGGCTAGACCCCAAAAAACTAATCGATCTGACCACCATGTCTTAGATGTGACACCGAGCACGACGTTGGCATGTAAGTCGCCATGATTATTGACACACCGCAAAACTCAGTTTTAGATGAAAACGACTTTTCTACATCCTCATTGTCCTAGCTGTATCTTTAGAATGCATGGATCGGCTTAGCGAGTGCCCCGTGGACGGCTGTATTTTAGAATGCGAACGGCTGTATTTCAGAATGTATATACATTCTGAAATACAGCCGTTCGTATATCTTTCTACGGGGCACTCGCACTCGAAGCGCGGCACGCAGCCGCGCTTCGAGAGCTAGTCTGGCCACCGTGAATGGCAACAGCTTTGTTTAGGCGCCAGTCTGGAAACCGTGGGTACGCGCCTCAGCAATGCTTGGTTATCAGGCGATTTGCCCACACCAGCAGCAAGATGGCGGGGCCCAGAGGCCATACTAGCAAACGTCTATAACGTGAACATGCTGGTATACACTCTAGGAATCTGGTGCGTCTATACTTTCCCGCAAAGAACTTGAAGGAGCCAAACGCTGCAATATGCGAAGGGATGTGACACAATATGCGAATAACGAGGTTGGAAATGTGCTTATATAAAATAAAGGAAAAAAAAAGAGGATAGTCTGCGTTGTGACTCTGAGAATGATGTAAGCACGTGAAACATGATGCTAACAAGTCAAGTCGCAGACTTTGACTTTAGGTCTAATCATATTTCCAGTCTCGCCTTTCGCTTAGATCCCTCCGTATATAGGCTCCCAAGGGCGAAAGTCGGCGCACCCGATTGTCTATAAAGGAAAACAAGCGGTGAAATATCTAGGCCGCACCAGAGGATCTTTTCGGGGTTGGGGATGGTCTCATATTGTTTGGGTTGAATCCCCGCTTTTGTTTGGATTCATTTCAGGCACTGTGTAAAGAAGACCAACACTCGGATGCCGGGCTTCAAGAGCTACGCTTTTCTCAATAAACTTCAACTAGAAATACGTGAATACATATACATAAAGACCATTCGCTCAACTTGTTTTTTTCTGGATGACGGGGGACTTAAAGGCGTGTTCACACTTGCGACTCGCAGCAGCCGCGCGACCGGCGAGCGACACGCATCAGGAATCCACCAGCAGCGTTCAGACTGCGGGCGATAGGCGAGTCGCTAACGGCGAGTCACTTCTCGGAAGCTCTCGGCAACCACAGTCGATTCCGTCCTTCCCAGCTCGGGTTCCCGATTTGCTGCTTTCCCATTTTCGCCGTCCCGCAGCTAGACATGTGTCGTTGTTGCCATATGAAGAAATGAAAGCCATTTACAACTCCCTGTAACGCCGAATCGGAGCGCAGCTCTTGAGGAGGAGGAGGGGAGGGTACTGAGGGGAACGGTACTGAGGGGTCACGTGACCTCGGGGAGGGCGTCACGTGACCTCGCGGTTACGCCGACGGCGACGGCGACGCCGCTCAAGCCGGAAACGGGCCCCTAAGAGCTGCGCTCTAAAAAAAAAAAAAAGACTTGTTACGTTTATTTTGGTTCTGTGGAACCATCCAATGAAGCACAGATCGCTACAACGGCGTGCACTCGTTCCAGCTACCGCGGCGCAGTACGTACATCTGTCGAGCCAAGAGTGGCACGGATTTGCTCCCAGGCCGAGTTTTCTTTCTTTTTTTTTCGAACGCTCGTTCAAATCGTGGTGCTGCTTTTCTAAAAAAAGGGTGTATTCAGCGCTTATCAGAGTCGCCGCAGAGACCTCCATGGCTCTGTATTCATGGCCGCTACCGCGAACCGAGGCGTTGGACGGACTTGTTCGTTGCTTCTCACGCAGAAGTGCGTGCCAGACGTAAACAAACGGGAGGCGCACTACACGTCGCTAACGAGGAGTTGCTGATTGGTTCAGCCGCCGGGCGACTCGGCGACCGGTCCGAAAAATTGGTCTAAAAACGACTACCCTTTTTAAAAAATAAAAAAAAAAAAACTGTCGCGCTACAGTTTCGATTTCAAGTGTGAACGCGCTTTTCCTTCACAAGCTCTCAGTTTTCGACAGGTCGCCTCGATACATCCTTTAATTTTGTTTGATTTTACGCCCATGGCAAAACAATCAGGAAGTCTGTCCCCCTGTCGTTCGCACGCCATTGGAGTTAGATAAGCGGCGCTATGCCGAAGTCTAATAAAGAGAACGGCTAAGTTTTAACTCTGGAGAAGCAGCCCAGGCAGCACAAAATTTTGGCCCGACACTGGCCAATGCCTGATTTTTGCTCGGCACCTGCCTGGCCAGCCCGGCCACTGGAAAGCAGCTGGCCAAAGGTCCCCAAAAGATCACTATTAAGTCCCCGGCCACAGAGTCTTAGTTTTTCCATTGGCAACCAATCACCAAATTATGTTCGGGAAGGGCTTGGCCACCAAGTCTTTGTTTCCTCCCTGGTCACCCGCCTCAAAAAGGTGACCAGCACTCATCCGGCCAATGTTCACCGGCATGAACTTGGTCAATGAAGACAAAAAAGTGCCCGGTAGAAGGCAGAGTACTGATCACTCTTTTCATCCCCGGCCACCAGTCCTAAAAATATCCTCAGCACCTGTCCGGTCAATGTTGACTGGCAGCAACCTGGTCAACGAAGACAAAAAAGTCTCCGGTAGAAGCCTGGGACTCACTACTCTTTTCATCCCCGGCCACCAGTCCTAAAAATATCCTCAGCACCTGTCCGGTCAATGTTGACTGGCAGCAACCTGGTCAACGAAGACAAAAAAGTGTCCGGTAGAAGCCTGGGATTCACTACTCTTTTCATCCCCGGCCACCAGTCCTAAAAACATCCTCAGCACCTGTTCGGTCAATGTTGACTGGCAGCAACCTGGTCAACGAAGACAAAAAAGTGTCCGGTAGAAGCCTGGGACTCATTACACTTTTCATCCCCGGCCACCAGTCCTAAAAACATCCTCAGCATCTGTCTGGTCAATGTTGACTGGCAGCAACCTGGTCAACGAAGACAAAAAAGTGTCCGGTAGAGGCCTGGGACTCACTACTCTTTTCATCCCCGGCCACCAGTCCTAAAAATGTCCTCAGCACCTTTCCGGCCAATGTTGACCGGCAGCAACTTGGTCAACGTAGACAAAAAAGTGTTCAGTAGAAGCCTGGCTACTGACCACACTTTTTATCCCCGGCCACCAGTCCTAAAAACATCCTCAGCACATGTCCGACCAGTGTTGACTGGCAGTAACTTATTCAATGATGAAAAAAACTGTCTGGTAGAAGACTGGGTACTGACCACTCCTTTTATCCCAGGCCACCAATCCGAAAGATGGTCACCCTATTTGGCTTGTTTCAAATTGGTCAACAAAAGAAAAAAGGTGTCCCATAGAACATGGGTATGGGGAGTGCTGCTTTTAT